CAGTCTGGGGGGAGGGCAGCAACACAGGATGTTCATGTATTGTTACAGCATTGCTTGTAATCACATAGCAAAGGAATTCAGTGGTTATTCTCAAGAAACAAGACCATTACTAACATCACCTGAGACTGTCAAGCTTTCAAGCATCTGTTCTAATTGTGTGCTGTTTCTGTGTGTTTTTATTTTGCTAGCTCTAAATATCTTGAACAGAATAGGAAGAAAAAGCCTAATGGAAAGTTTCTGAAGCATCTTCATGATGCATGGTAATAATTGTATCGTCCTTTAACTGGGAAGTTCCACACCTTGTTCTATTTCATATGCGATTCTTAGAAGCATCTGTTGATTTTTAGGTGTTCATGAAACAACTTTCAAGTTAATGAGTGAGGTTGGTTGGTATTTTCTAACACCAGGGCTGCTCTAAATACTACCTGTGATGTGCCTAATATTCAGTTGAAGAATTAACCAAATACAAAATAGCAACGTTCGGAAAGACCTAGGAGTGACTTATTCTAATGATCCTGTAACACAAGAGTAAGTATTTATGGAGGGTCAATAGACTTTGAGAATAGAGGAGAATCACCATACAATGCACTTACCCAGTGATAAATTCCTACCTTATAAAGTGTTATCACACAGTTCAGCAGAGTCAGACACACCTGCCATTGCCTTAGTCAGTTAAAAGTTGTCTGAAGTCCTGTCTTTATCAAGTTGTTAAGATTTACACAGATGTGGGCTGATAAGCTTTTCTGTTGTACTCCCATATATTGCTTTTGCTGCTCTGGGTGTGTCTATTGCTCTTCATGCTTTATGATAATCTCGTTAATCTAAATTCTCACACCTGCATTAGTAACAGGCATAAACTTTTTGTGACATTGGGTGCAGGGAAAAGCCTGGGCAGCCATTGACAAATGGTCCTAGTTAGCACAGCTCTCTGCATCTTTGCCTAGCAGGGGGTGTTGTACCACTTAACTATAAGCTGTGGAGATGCACTTTCTGCGAGTGTAAATATGTCTTTTGAGTAATATGCTTTAGGCAGAGCATGCCACTGTAGTCTGGCTTGGTTCCTTCCCAAATTTCTGGTGGGATTTTAGCAAGATGCCTCAAATTTCACTGTAATACCAGCTGTAGGAAGCATGTGGGATTGGTCCTGTTTTGCTGCTAGAGAGTGTTCAAATGTGGGAACTCCTATTCATAGTATGATACACGGTTAAATGCTGCTGTTGGTTATTTGGAAGACAAGCTGCCCTTCCATCTCCATAGAGCTGGCACTGATGAGCAGGGCATGCTGCATCTAGCCCAACATTTGCTCATGTTGGGACAGAGAGTTAAATATGGACAGTACAAAGAATGCTCAGGAGGAGGGGCTGATGCAGATTTTCAGTTACATTGCCCAGATCAATTCAAGTTCTGCTTGATATCTGCCGGAGATAAAACTCCCATTTAGAGGGTGGAATAGGAAGGAAAGGGTCTGTCTGCATACTGGAAAAATACTTGAGCTGAGAGTTTCCTATATTCTCCTCCTGGGGAATAAACAAACCTTTTGCCAAAAAAAGTTCACTCCCATTGACTGTGGGCGATTTAAGTCGATGCATTGAAAATATGCCAAGAACCACCAGTCAAGAAGCCCCTTCCATAGCAGAGGTCAGATTAAATGCAAGTGGGCCTCTCCAACCTGACAGCCAAGTCCTCCTCCTGCCCTGATGAGAACTGACCATGGACACGCCAGATATAACACTGGTGTGTTTGCCTCATAGATAGCATAGACGGTTGGACATCTGGAGCCGGGGCTGTCTGCCCTGTGATTTCTGTATCGTCTTGTGGTCGTTGTGAAACAGACAGGAACAGGTAATAATTCAAACCGTAGCTCCTGCTATCTGGAGTTGTCACCTCTGGGGATCAGCTGGGTCTCTGAGGGCTTGGGAAAGTGATCCTGAAGGTCAAGGGGAGACGTGCTTTGGCTCCTCGGTGTAGATGAAATGATAATGAACCCTGTGGAAGGAGGAGGAGGACCATTTGAGGCTTTTATTATCCCTGAAGCCGTGAATCATCCCAAATGCTAATCCTCAGGCATACAGTCAGCAGATCTGTGCTGCCGTGTGCCAGCCTGCGCTGTCTGAAGGCATCCAGCGTGCAAGGAGCTGTGCCTTGTTTCTCCCCAAGTCTTTTACATTTTTCTAGGATTGTTTCATGCTTTATTTTACAATTATGCAGGGGGGAAAAAAAACCCCTTCATGTGGTTTCTCAGAGACTTTCAGGCCTTGTAAGTGCATTTTGATAGACTCCTTCCAGATGTAAATGATTGGGATGGTACATCTAAACCTCAGACTTTGAGGTTGGGTCCGTTCAGGAAGGCAAGTCCCAAGGGCCAACTTGGCCTTGTAAAAGAATTGTATTCTCTGCTGTTGCAATGAGTTGGAAGGGTTTGTAGGGGTGGCACAAGAACAGAGAAGGTCCAGCTCTGTTGTAAGCTGTCACTTGCCTGCTAACGAACTGCACCAGAGCCTGTGGTTCCGGGTCAGTGCTGGTGGGACATGCCTTGTGTCATGGCACAGACGTGATTGGAGCTGTTTGGTCAGTGTATGTCCCAGCTAGGAGCCCACAAACCTTGTTGGGGAGGTGGGTGTGCTGGCTGGCTGGTGCTTAGTTTAAATTCAGTGGTAGACATTTACGTATTGGTGAGCTGCTACTCATCACTCAAGCCTAACTACTGCTCTCATTTTGGTATTTGATAAGGATAAAGTATGTTGCTACTCAACCATGTCCAGAGGAGATGGAACCAAAAAACAAGTGGGAAGACAACTAGCCCTGCTGGAAGCCACAAACAGTGCAAAAGGTGGCATTTCAGAGCATGTAGGATGCCACTGCCAGGATCTGTGGCATCTCTGCAGTCTCAGTGATGGGGAGGCTTCTGGCCCCATAATGGTTGGTGAAAGAAAGCTTGCGACTTCTCCACCTGGCTGTAGTGGTGGCAGCTTGGGAGTCACCTGTCTCCCCACCCAGCGCCTCTCCTGGAGCTCAACCTTCACCTTCCAGCATCACCTTCCTTAGCGCTGGAGCCCTTGCCTAGGTGATGTGTTGTTTGCTGCTAATGCGGTTTCTACATATATGGGTTTAAAGATCGGCATTAAACCTCCAGTTATTAATTTTGTGAATCTTAGAATCTATATCTGGAGGAGCAGCCCTTTTGTTTGGAAAATAAACTATTTTGTTATTGCTTCCTTCCTATTCTGAAGTATTTCCCTGCCAGCCCTGACTGCTACAGCAGCCACTGCAGTTAGGAGTCAGGCTTAAAAACAGGAGGAAATTTGTATTTTAATAATGAATTATCCTGTGAGTATATGATTGAAGTTGGAAGGGATCTCAGGAGGTCATCTGGCCAAACCTTCTGCTTCAAGAGGAGTCAGTTGTGAGATCAGGCCAGGTTGCTCAGGGATTGTTTCTTTAGGGTATTTGGTTCTGGTTTCTGAGGCCTCAGGAGGGTGTGCTCTGTCTGCATTTTCATGCGTCCCTACAAACCCCTCATAATCTACCTTCTCCCTGAAAGCTGAGATGTCCTGCAGCCTTTTGATCCTTTAAAACCAGGCTTTTAAGGGGTGAATAAAAGCCCCTTGGCTTTTGTGAGCATTGGCTGTATTTGTTGGGAGGACAGACCTTGATTCTCTACCCAGCTGTCCCCCTTTGTGGCACTTGGGTGCTGGCCAGCGTGCAAAGAAAAGTGCATATTCCTGGCAGAAGAGTGCCAGCCCGGCAAGCAGCTCCTTGTGCTAATTGACCCCCTTCTTGGCAACTTCATCAAAGACATGAAAGAATAAATAGGCTGTTGATTGAACTGTTTCCTCGTCCCCAGAGGTGGTCCCTCTTAGCCAGGGTTAAGGCACATTATAAGGGCTGGGGAAGAAGCTTGCAGAGTGATTAGTCTGTGCTCACCAAGGAACAAAAAGCTTTCATTTACTGTGCCTTCCATGTGACATCTGCCGTGTGAGACGGAAACGTGGCAGGGGTTTGCTGCAGAGCTTGGTCTGTGGTGCCCACAGAGCGGGTTTCTATGCTCTGGTCCACAGGGTGCTGATTTTGAGGGAAGAGGAGAACGTAGCTTGGATGGAATCTCATAGTAGAACCTGATGAAAACAGAGGTTGGGAGCAGGAAAGCATCTTCAAGGAAAGCCTGGATGCAGAAGTTGAGGTGGATGCTGATGGATGAGACTGGCACATTCTTTACATAGAAAAGTCATGTTGGTGCTTGTTGGTGCTGCCATGAAGGCACGCAGCAATCCTGCAGAAATGAGGCATGCAAGTTTCAGCTGATAAATTAATGGAGCATATAAGGAGAAAACATTAACCATTTTATTTAAAAACCTCCTTACAGGCATCAGTATTCGACTGGGTTTTGGTGCCAAATTGCAGTCACATACTTCAACCCCCTTTATTTGTTTCATTCCAGGCTGGGCCTGGAGTCCAAAATACTTAACCTTTCTGTAGAGCGAGCAGTCCAGGAGAACTATTTTCAGTGAAAATATTTTAAAGTGTATGAACTGAAACCCATTGTTTTTTATCAGATCAGTGTTAAACGCTGAGATTTGACAGGTACCATATTGCTTCATGATGTTTATTGTCTAGAGGTAGGATTTTACCTAAAGATGGAGCAGAAATAAGCATTACAAGCTTTGCTTTTGGACAGAGGCTTTCCTTCTGCAGCTCTTTCAGTGCTCACTCTGTACTCAGCAAATAGAGTGAGTGTGTGGAAAATAAATATTGATACGGTGCTCCAGCCTCAGTGTCCTGAGCATCACGTGTCTGTATAATGAGTTACAACAGGAGCCTGCACGACACCATATACATCACTGTCATGTGAGAGGGCCTATAGAGTTACATCGCTGTGACAGCCTGATATGGGGCAATGCACCATGTTCCTGCGTAGCGAATACAGCCCTTTCCTTCTGCTGACATTAATGATTACATCTGTGATTCACTAACAGTGACTCTGTGCCATCTTTGGTTTTTAGTGATGAAAACACTAGAAAAGACTTGAAGACACTGCCTGTCTTTCCTACCAAGACACTGCAGGAGCATCCGTCACTCGCTTACTGGTGAGCTATTGAATTTAAAATGTAAATCATTGCCATGAGTGGTAATCACAAGATCACTTGTAAACAATTTTGCAAACTCCTTTAAAAGTTTTCAGCCTGTAGGATATAGAAGCTGGAGTTAATTTCTTGTGTTTGAACACTTCCAGTTTTTAGGTTGTAAATTATGCAAGATCTGATGCAAATCCCTCATTGAAAGTTTGCTCAAATTAAATTGCTGGATCAGAAACTGCCGGATCAGAATATGGGGGGACCACGCATTAGAAAGAGCTGAAATCTGAACTCCAGCCAAGCCTGGGTTTGCAAAGAGCCCCTTGCTCTTCAACTGTCACACAGAGGAGCCTCTGTGATGGGTTGACCTTGGCTGGCTGCCACATGCCCACCCAGCTGCTCTTCTTAACAGGACAGGGGGAGAAAATAAGCTTTAAAGGCTGGAAAAAGAAAGGCAAGTCCAGTTTTGTGGGTTGAACCTGCCATAAAGGAACAGAGCATTTGGTATGGGTGAATCAACATTATTGTTTCCTTGGAGTTGATGCCGTTTGTGCAAGTTTGACTCCTTCATTTGTTTCATTTCTTTTAGGCTTGATGTGTACCAGATGGAGTTTTCCAGTGTACCAGTACCTGCCTATGATTTGGGGTTTTTTTATTCAGAATAAATACTGCTGGGTTTTTCTTTGCTTTCAAGTGTCTGACACTTAAATGCATATTTTATTTCACACTCTGCTAAAACAAAATGTTGAAGTATATCACAGGGAAAATGCAAAAAGGTCACTGCTGACAAATCTATATTCCACCTATGGAATGTCAGGGGAAAAATACACAGGACTGAAAAGATTCCTGGTTTAACTTCTTCTGTCTTACATATGGAACATTAACCATCATTTGAAGATTTGGTCTATTAGAACATGCAAATGAATTTATACAATTAGTACCATTATTCTGCAGCAGCATCTGCAGCAGAACAGGCTGATCTGAAACGATTTGTTAATTAGTCGGGAACGTGGCATGGGATGGTGGGAATCATCCAGGCAGCTCCACGCTGCCTAATGAAGGGTGGGAAAGAAATTAGTAAGAAACAGAATGTAAAGCAGAGTGTGAAATGTACAGAGGGGCACCCCTCTGCATGCTGAGCAGGCGCCTGAGCTTCCACAGATGCTGTCACACATGAAAAAAGTCACTGAGCCTCTAAATTGAGTTTTGTGCTTGGTTTGCAGTGAGGACAGAGTAATTGAGCATTACGCACAAATTAAAGGTCTGACCAGAGGACAAGCCATTGTTCAGTGAGTATGACACTTGTTAATTTGTGAAGATGATATTTTTACTTTCCTTTTTTTCTCTCTTACTGAGTAATGCCAATGTAGGATGCTCTGGTCATTACTGCTTACAAACTTTACCATTCGTATCTGTGGGGTTCATTTCTTATTGAGTTATATTTCAAAGGGGAGCTATTTGAAGTTTTATTTTCACAGGCTGGCAGTTAAGGTTGTGTGTGCTCCTTCAGATACCTCAAATAGGAAAGCAATTATTTGGACCTCACTTTATTGGAGGACTCTTTTCCATACCCTGCTTGCTATCAGTTAGTTTTCACACCAAACTCTTGAGGGCAGGTATGACCTCAGGTGCAGTAAAAAACCCAAATGCGTATTTGTTGAGATGCTCAGAATTTGGCTTTCAGAAGAGCAAGGTCTCCCAAGATGCATACAGAGCCTGTGCAACTTTGTTTTTAATTTACTGTTAATATTACTGTACTTCCTACAGGCAAATGTAGTGTGTTGTGCTTGACGTGAGAGCCATGGTTGCACGATGTAGACAACTTGTTTTCCTCATGTACCTCAATGCCTGTAACTGTCTCAGCAATTCAGGGGCTTCTTTCAAGAGGAACAAGGGAAAAGGTTCTCTGAATTGCCTCATGAAACAGTGGTACAACTGCTTAAACACTTTAATTTGGAGCCATTGCAACTAGAGCACCATAATGGAATAATTACGAGTACATCTTTGCTATCAATATTTCCCAAAAGGCTCATATGTTCACTTCAGAGTCTTTACTTTGTTTTGTGACCTTCTGATAAGAGATTGAATATTTTGCTGTATGAGAGATTTTCCATTCGCTTTAGCTGAGCCAAAATATCACATCTTTCCCCAAGCCAGGATGCTAAGGTTTTTTTCTGAAAGCAGGGGTCTTCAATTATTAAGACCTTCAAAATATGCAAATGATAAATGACATGTCCTGAATGTATGTGTGGAAAAAAAAATTAATAGATGCTGTTCCCTCCAGAGAAAATCATCTGATAACACTATAAATCTGTCTACAGGTACATGAAAGTTGTGGAAGCTTTGCCAACATATGGAGTTCATTACTATGGAGTAAAGGTTAGTAAATGCCCATAGATAATGTGATTGCTCAGCTTATTGCCTGTGATTACATTCCTATAGGAGTAGTTTGATGATTCAGTACCCTTCTCTCAGTATTAAACTCTGCATTTTTCAACCTCTGTAATTTTTCCCCTTCATTATTCTTTAAGAATTGTTTCCAGAGAGCAGCAAAGTAGTATGTGCTACAGAAGATGGAAAGGAATCTTTGTAAAACCTTCTCTAATCTGATCAGGAGCTAAATTCTTATCTTAATTAAACTGGATATCACTTCTAGATCCAAAGCAGTTAATAGTTCCCCCAGAGGCATTTCTAATCAAGATTAGAAAAAAACACAGTGTAGAAAAGACTACTTCTAACAGCAGGTGACTAGTGGGGAAATGCTGGGAAATATTTTTGGAGACTGATGGAAACACACTGTTTATTCCCATTTGTAGAGCAGAGCCTGGGCCAAAGTGCTTTGTGCAGAAGAGCTCAGCAGAGATGATGTCTCCTTACTTTGAGTCATGGCCATGACTGTGGTACCCAAGAAGCTGATGTTTTGTGCTGTTCTCTCCTCCTGTGGCTGCCTGTGCCTGAATTGAGTGGATGCAGTCACTGGCCACAGTTTTTTTCTGTCCCATATCCTTTCCCCCTCACAGCCACTCCTGCAGTGAGTGACACCATGATGTTATGGCAGCACTGTTGCTTTTCTTTCATCCACTGTGCACAACTAGCACCCAGTCTCTTGCCTTTGCCTCAGAAGGCAGGGGGAGAAAGTTCCAACATTCACTCCAGCAATCCACTTCACGTAGATTTGTTTGCAAAGAAAATCTATCTTCTGTACCTACTTGTACTTGTCACAGGAAGAAATGGGCTGCAATCTTGGAATAGTGCAATTCTTAAGTAGCTCTTTGTTCACGCAGATGTCCATTTTTCAGGATAAACAAGGAATCCCGTGGTGGCTTGGAATTAGTTACAAAGGAATAGGCCAGTACGACTTACAAGACAAAGTTAAGCCCAGAAAAGTAAGTTTTCTACGTCTGATTTTTTCTTGAGGGGTAGGTGGGATTGGTGCTACATGTCAGAGTAAATGACCAAGGGCTGGAGGCCAGAGGAGCATTCTGCTGGTGCTGAGACAGTAGAACTCTCCCTCTTGTGCAGATAGTGAAAACTCCTTTGAGAACTTCGGCTTCTGTGTTGTCTTGAGTTTGTCTCAAGACAGTCTGTACAGGAATTTTGGCAGCCTCCAGGATAATTATCAAAGTATGAATCAACTGGGTTTCTGCAAATCCAAAACTAAAGGTCTTGTACTCAAGTAGTGTTTTCACTTGGCTTTTGTAGGTGTTTTTTGCGTGTGAAGTGATAAAAGGCTCCACTGATATCTGTGAAATACAAGGGGAACTGCAGGAAACTGCAGGCCTGCTTGAGCAACTGTATGTTTCCATGATGCAATGAACTCTAAGGGGGGATTGAGAGTAAATGCCAAATACTGGCAGTTGCTCTTCTCTTTTTCCACACGCTCTCCAGCGTGTCTCCTTCAGAGTGAGCTCTGCCAACAACCTCCCTTGTTGTTTGAACAGGGGAGAGGGTCCTGTATTGCACTGCTGGCTCCCTCAAAGCCCCCATCAGCAAGCCCTAACAGGCTCTTCTGCTGCCAGCCTTGGAAAACCCATCATGCAGCTCAAGCACACAATGTGTTGGGAGCTCGCCCAGTCCTGTAGCTGCATTCATCTCCCTGCAGCAGGACTGAGCCCTGAAAGTCTTTGAAGTGTTGTTTAACCTACTTGGCTGTGGGGAAGAACCAGGACTGCACGTGAGGGAGCCACACTGTTGGTCTGAGTGGTTTCTTTCTGGTCATGTCTTCATTGAAACATCTAAGGCGTGAGGAGATGAAGACCTGGGGTTTTTGCTGTTCTCCTTCTCCTGAGTTCATATGAAATGTGTGCTTCCTGACAGGGAATTTTACTTTTGCAAAATGATACTGTTTAGTGTATTTGTGCCAAAAAACACAGCTTAACAAAACTTCCTTGTGAAGAGTAATTCTCCTTTAAGCTTACAAATTGATCTCTTTTTCCAGAGCAGGCTATGACTTGGGTTTTTTGGTATATTTATATATCTGCGTGTCCAAGGTTGAACTCATATGTCCTTACTTTGTTTTGTTTAGTAAAGCACATATTTTCATCCCAAGACTGTCCATCCCATGCCTGTTCCAAATGACAAAAGGGGAATCGTAGAAAATCAAGTCAACATTATTGAAGCCATTGATTGTCAAATGAAGGCATTAAGGAGCTCCTCTTGCTCTTCAGCACTGTTTTTGGGCAACATCTACAAGATTTTCTGGTCAGGTCAGACGCACGTTGTTCTCTAGCCAAGATGTCCAGCTGTGACCAGCAATGCTGTCCAAGAAAATGCAGCCTGCCTGGCTATAAGCATTGCTTCACCAAGCAGTTTTTATGCTTGTGGGATTTCAGTTTACAACATCAACCAGGCAGATTAAGAAAACATTTAAGGTCAGCAGGGCCCAGATACCAAGTCACACCCTGTACAGTTAGCTACGAGACGTTGCCTTTGAATTGGGCTGTGTTTAAGAAAAATGAAATAAAAACCAAAGGTCACCTCTGCAGTGGAAGCGTTACAATGGAAATTATAACAGTTGTCTACTGTAATTATACAACAGGGAATAGAGATTAAAAAGAAAGGTGGGAGAGAAGACCCTAAATGCAAAGGGAAGGTTTAATGCCAATAAGCTGGTTGAAAAAGTGGGGCTGGATATGGCTGTAGTATCCTTGTGGGTTCATGTCTCGTGTCAATAGAAGACAAAAATGACTTAAGCCCACAGGTCATCCTGAGTCATGACAACTTTTAATGTGTAACTAAATATGCAGACAGTTTGTTTATACAAAAACGTATTTCAGGGTTTGAAATACAAAATGCACTTCTGACATGATCCATGGAAGTAATGGGAATTGGATCACTTTCAGAGGAAAAACAGATGCTGAGCATAGAGAGGCACCCGCATCCAGACTTGGTTTTGGACTTAAAATGTTGGATACTGCTGTTTATTTCAGTGATGCAGCACTCAGAAGTTTTCTTTCAATCAGTATTGTTGCTTGTTCATATTTATGATTGTAATAGAATATATTTCAGAGTGAGAAGAATCTGTATAGCTTGTCTGAATCTCTTGAGGAGTTAGCAAGCACAGTCCTTTCCAAAGCAGCAGGCAAGAGAGGAATAGGCATGTAAACTATGCCTGTCTTTTGAAGTAGAGATGCCAGTTCTGCTGGATTTAGCAGAATTTTCTTGCTTTGCGTTTCAGGATGGAGCCAAACTCATAACTGCCATATACTGGTGTTATCCTGGTGTTTATACTGCAGATCAGAAGTGCTGTTATGTTTATCCCTAGCCATCTGGGAAAGAGCATCTTTACTGTGCACTTTTTCAGTTAGCGATGTTTGAATATCCAAGCAGCTGATTAACTCAATAAAAGGGAAAGGCTGAGTCCAAGTCTCATGAAGGCCAAGCTGACCTTTCCTATTTTTAAAGATAAAAGTGATCTCTGGGTGTGCAAACCTCTCTGATACCGGCTGCAGTGGGAAAGCTGCTGAGTTTCAGGTGGGAGGCTTTGAACAGGAACTGGTGCCTGTGCTTCAGCTGAGTTCGCACCAGAGGGGTATATTCTGCTCCCTGTGTCTTTTCTGTAGTGCTAATGGCTGCATTTGCTTAATGTGTTCCTCACAGGCATTTGGTAAGAGCCAAGTCCATATTCAGAATAAGATTTAAAACATAATAATAAAAAATAGATATAAAATTAACTGCACTCATTAATGCAGTGTCAACTAAATCCCAACAAGTAAAACCATCCTCCACAAAAAGTGAAATCTTTTGGCTTTATCCAAGTAGGTCTTTAGGCAAAGAGACCTAAATATAAGCCTTGGAGCACAGTGGTTATCCCAAGATTTTGTTATTGGATCAACACTGTTGTGTGAAGTCCAAGGCTGAGAACTCTTCACAGGAAACAACTTGCAGGACAGACCTGGATGAAGCAATCTCTAGATCGGTACCGCCCAGCCTTGCCAATGCTTGTGCATGTACAGTCAATCACCCATGAGGGGAATGTGTGTTGCTGGAGAGGACAGTGTGTAACTCAGGGCTGGACCAGGAGAACCTGCCGTGGCTGTCTGTCTCTGTAGACCTGGCTGGGGAGGTTTGAGTTTGGCTATTAATATTTTGCTGGTTGACCTGAGATGGTTTAGAGAAATAAATCACTCCTGAAAGCTTGTATTGCTTTGGAAGTGGTTTCTAGCAAAGCAACCCTGTGGTGTAACCTTCACCTGAGAGTATAAGCTGATGGGCACCAAGGGAAGCACTGTGCTCCACCTCTGGAATAGACTGAAAATGGAGAGTCATTTTTTGTGTCATTTACGAAAATAGTCTTTTTCTTTGTAGATAAAAGCAGTGGTTCTGCACTGGCTGGAGGTTACACTCATTATAGTTGATTAGTTGATTATAAGCCTCATAGGTATAAGAAAGACTGGGTTTGGCAAGCCATGTTCAGATTTCAGCTGGGATTAACTCTACAGTCCTGCTGCTTTGCAAACATATTCTCCCTTCAGCTGCAGTTAACACCAAGAGATGCCTTCTGTTTGGGGAAATGACTCCTGCTTGCTATGGGGTGGCATGCCAAGATCCTGTCCCCATTCTCCTCTGAATCAATTAGGAAAAACATAAACCAGGTCCCAGGACTTCATTTGTTTTAAAACAGAATGGATCTCCCTTGTATCTCTACCCCTATTCTTCTCATGACTGAGATAAACATTGCCTCGTCTTGTTTATGGAGCATGTATTAGGGTATGAATTGAGTTTATTCTGCATTCAGCCAACATGTGGCAATCGTCTGAGGGATGGGAATTTGAGAAGGCAGCTTTCTGGCTTTTTGACTTTTCTCCCACTTCATTGTGTTTCTGTGGGCAACTCCCTGGTAATAAATGAGCTCTAATATCTGAAGAGAACTTATCTTGCTAAGGTATTGTTTCAGATTTACAAGTTCATTTCTATTGCTGGTTGTCTTGAATACATTATATTCTCGGAAGTGTTTTTCCTGTTGTATCTAAAACTACTTCTTTCAGTTTAAAGTCATTCCCCTTTACCTATCCCTCCATGCCCTTGTAAAAGCTTTCTTGCTGGCCCCATTTTGGTACTGAAAAGAGCTGCTCTAAGGTCTCCCCAGAGCCTTCTCTAACAAGCCCAGCTCTCTCAGCCTGTCTCCATAGGAGAGATGCTCCAGCCTGGACAAGAGAAGGCTCTGAGGAGAGGAACCATCCAGTTTATTCCTTACCCACCAAGTGGTCCATCCATCAAATCCAGGTGTCTCCAGTTTAAAGACAAGGATGTCATGCAGGACTGTGTCAAATGCTTTGCACATTCCAGGTAGATGACATCAGTTGCTCTTCCCTTATCCATCAACACTGTAACCCTATTGTAGAAGGCCATCAAATTTGTCAGGCACGATTTGCCTATAGTGAAGCCTTACTGGCTGTCACGAGTCACCTCCTTATTTTCCATGTGCCTTAGCATAGTTTCAGGGAGAATCTGTTCCATGATCTTGCCAGGCACCAATATAAGACTGATAAGTCTGTAGTCCGCTGGGTCTTAATGTTTTTCCCTTCCTAAAACTGAGGGTTGTGTTTCCCCTTTTCCAGTCAGTGGGAGCTTCACCCCCATGACTTCTCAAATATGATGGATAGTGGCTTAGCCACTTCCTTCACTAGTTCCTTGGAACCGTGGGTGCATCTCATCCCATGGACTTGTGCACTTTCAGGTTCTCTAGATGATCTCGGACCTAATCTTCCTACAGTGCATGGTTCCCAGTCCCTGCCTTTGCCTTCTGCGACTTGGGTTTTGTGGCTGGAGCTCTTGCCAGTCAAGATTGAGGCAAAAGAGTCATGGAGTACCTCAGCCTTCTCTATACCCCAGGTTACCACGCCTGCTGTTTCCTTCTGAAGAGAGTCCGGGTTTCCCCTAGTCT